TGTGGATGTTGCGATGTCGCGCGGCGTGTAATTTCGGCGTGCAATGTTTGCGCTGCTACGCGGCGGCATGGCAGCGCAGCACGCTCGTACGGGGGATAGTCACATCGGCGCGTCGTGCGGCACGGCGTCATCGATCTTCAACGGAGACCCGGAGGCAAACACACACGGCCGCCACAGGCACCGGCGCTTACGGTAAACTCGCGATAAGAAAGGGCCGCTCTCTCCTTCGACCGGCAACCGGCCTCCGTCAGGGAAATAATTAATCCGATTTGCGCGGGTAAGCCGCGCGCGGCCGCTCCCCCGGAGCGTTGCACCGGAAAACGAGCGTTTCATGGGACGAGCCGACGCGGCGGCATTACGCGAGTCCCGATCTGCCGGGCGATTTTCGGGCTCGCTCTCTGTAGAGAAGAGAATCAGTCGTCCGGCGAAAGAGGCGCTCTCCCGAGGAAATAATTAAGTGGATTCGCGTTAATCGATTTTGTCGTCGTACGATCCCCCTGTGTAATCAATTGAATTGGCAGTCTTAGAAGTTGCGACACACAATATCCCGAGTCGAAATTTTAGTCCTAATTTATCGAATTTAGTTCTACATTAAGTGTTCAAAGGTCCTCCTTCCATTGTGCTCCTTTGCCGCTATATGGGGAAGTTGTTCGCCGTTTTCCCCACCTTAACGTAGAATTTAAAATTTCGTCTCGCGATAATTTGTCTTTTATATTCGATAAATCGCGATGGAATTTTTTCGAAGTTACATATATCATCCGTAAAACGACGGTGAAACGACTATAAAATCCTTGCAAAAGTATCGAAGCAACTATCGATGTAACTAATAACTGTATTTCATCTTTGATCATTCGATGGGGCTTTCTTCAAGTCGCGTTATCCTCGCGGAAGGGTAGCCCACAATGAGACGTAACTCGCTGAAACTTGGCGTTTCTTATTGTCGCGATGAGAACGTCGAAACTAGCTCTTCGCGGGCCCCGCCAATATATTCTTGCGTACTTATTCTTTAAGTTCGCTTTCCCACTGCGAATACCGTCTCGAGTTACCCCGACGAATTGCCTCGGAGACCGCTGCTAGAACCATTCGAACTAAATAATCAAAGGTCGTAAAGGTTGTCGACTCCGTTGACACGAACGGGCTGGATCAATGTTATTCGGCCTGAGGCGTTTTTTTCCCGTGGAGAGCTACGACGACGATGAGGAGGACGATGACGACGACGAAGGGGAGAAGGAAAGAGCGTCGTCAACGGTGACGTTCGACGGGCCACTGCTACTTCCACCGCTCGTCGACTGTTGTTCCTCCAACGCTTCGCCTTGTCCTTTTTTTTTGTCCTACGCCCGGCGACGTATTGGAGAGCAAACAGCTCGAACGAGATTACCGCGTGCAAAAGACTTTTTACGAGACGCGTCTTGAAAGAGATTGTCAAGAATTACATTATCCTCCCCCCTCGCGCTTTACCGTCTCTTCTCCTCCTCCTCTCGCTCCTCACTTCGCTCCTTTCTGCACACTGCCGGTTGCCGCCGTGATGCGGGGTAAATAAAGGACGTCGACTTGCGCGATGCCCTCGAGAAAGCTCGGGGAATAGTTATGCTCGCGTGACGCTGCAGACTGCATCGATTTAGAGCTCAAAGCGTCAAACGGAAATTATTTACTCGAGATAATGAACGGGGAATGAGGAAGAGGTAACTTCGCAGCGACGCGTTTATTCTTATGCACCGTCTTATTGTGCGTAACTACTATACAGGATGTCTGACGTAAGTCGAGCATCCGTTATATATTTGTGATTTAGGTCAATGTGAACAAAAAGTCCTCTACTATTTTGCAAACAACCACGCAAGTAATATATTAAATGTTACTTCTAGACCACTTTGATTTGGAGGATTGAAAAATCGCCTAAAACCATTTAAAAAATCATGCCAAACCACCTCAAAAATCATGTCAAACTAATTCAAAATTCACGCAAAAACAATAATTGATAACTCGAAATTTTATATGTTTGCAAAATGGTGGAGGACTTTTTTGCTCACCTCAATTCGTTCTACACCCTCACGAAGTTTGACCCTGTCGGTCTGGAATACCCTATGTACTTTGTATACGCGCGAATATATAATATACAATATCTTGGACCCCGTCTGTATACGCTGTATATGGCTAATTGCGCCTGCTTTTGCTCCGGACGTTTAAACCTCAGACGCTTCGGACCATCCCTGCGACGTTTATACACTTAAACGCCATATAACTCGGCCGGTTTAAACGACTTCTCGCAGTAATCAACTTAGGCGGAATTATAGCGAATCGCTTGTGCGCAGTTCGGCCGACCGTAACTTCGGACAAACGCAATTCATTCCCGTTCTTTCGGCCGGCTGAGGACGGGCGGGGCACTCGAGAGATCGAAAGCACGACTCCATCTCTCCTTTATCCTCCCCGAGCCGCTCGGTCCCCTTTCTTGTCTCGGGGTTGGGGAAAAGCTCTCTCTTTCTCTTTATCTCGTCAAGTCGCGGCGCCCATCTCGAGGCACTCCAAACTGCAACGAGATGACTGACCCTGTTCTCTCTCTCTCTCTCTCTCTCCTTCTTTCTTTCCTCTCTCGCCCTCGTCTTCTCTCTTTCTCTCTCTCTCTCTCTCTCTCACTGTCCCACGCGAGTCTGTGGCAATTTTGTACATCGCGAAAAGTTTCACAATTAGTCTTGGAACTTTCATAATTCCGCAGCTTAACCCGCCTTGTTTTGCGGCCGAGCGTTACCGCGGTCGGTTTAATT